TTTAACATTAATGGGGGGATTTTCATTAAATGGAAATATTGACCTTAATATCGGCCTAATTCAACAAAAATTGTGTGTCATTTCGTTAGGTTCCCTAACTTGAGGAGCACAAGCATTTATACTCTGAATATAATAACCCCTATAAAAATGTACCTTTGTATTAAACAAAGGATTTTTTTGCACGACTTGTGTGACCGTAACGGCAACAAGAGTACGAATGTAGATTTGAATTTTGTTAAAGCTATCAAATAACATTAGAATTAGATAATGAACTAAACATGTGTCACGTGCCGATTTTTTTTGTCTAGATCTTAATGTGTCAGATTTAAGTTGAGGCTCAAACCGGCATATCGGAGGACTTATCCGCACAATACATTCGATAAGGGCAAAAATGCGTTCCTAAATTCGAAGGCATTTTAAAACTATCGTATGACATTACAACTACGTAATGACTTATACCATTTTGAAACTGAAATCTTGTTCTATACTCTAACTTTAGTGTTTTACATTGAATTTAGGGCTCAAAGTGGTCCAGAATCTGCCCGATCCTTTATAATTCCCTACACACTTGATTCGAGCCGTCGAAGATGGCGTTATCCACAAACTCATAATTATGCTCACTAGCCCAGCTTTCGCCGGGCGGCGCATATTTTTTTTTTACACAAGTGTTTAGCCACTTCAGTCAAATATACTGTGCAAACGACTAGAGACAGAGTCTAACATTACCCTCGGCAGTTTTGTTGGATTTAACTGTACATGACTGTGTACATACTCATTATTTGTTTTGGATTAAATCTTCTCTTTCATGATGTATTTCTGTGTTATCCTTCAATCTTTCCTCTTCTCTTTTGTCATGTATTTCTTTTGTTTCTCTCTTTAATCTATCCTTTTTCTCCTTCGTTATATATTTCTTTGTTTCCAGTTCCTTCAATCTATCCTCCGGTTCTCCTTCGTTATGTATTTCTTTGTTTCTCCTTCAATCTATCCTTTTCTCCTTCGTCATCTATTTCTTTGTTTTCATCTGATATAGATTCCCTTTCTCCTTCTTTATGTATTTCCGTATGTACTTCCCTGTTTTTCCTTAGTCTAGATCTATGATCCTCTTAGCTCTTCAATTATGTATTTCTATGTCCTTCCTTTGACTTATCCTCTTCTCTTTTCTTATGTATTTCCTTGTTTTTCCTTCTCTATATCCTCTCCACTATTCTTGTTTTCCCCTAGCTATCATCTTCCCTTCCCTGGGTGTACGTGCATGCTTGCACATAGTGCACTGACGACTTAGACTCTTTCACCAGAGCACTTCTTGGAATGTTTTCGCGAAAATGACTAAACAGTTGTGTAAAAAAAAAATATGCGCCGCCGGGCGTCCTAATTTAATGATCACGCCATCATCGCCTGGTAGCAAGTACAGTGAACCAGATCACATTTTCGGGACCAAAAAAATAAAAATAAACAAAATAAGTGCTCACTAATGCCGAAAGTTTGTGTCTGGGTATTACTGTTTCAGATTTAATTAAGGGCTCAAACCAGCATATCGGTTTGGTTTGGGACAATCTTTTCTAAGTCAGGTTAGGTTGAAAGCAGGTATAATTATGAAGGGATGTATGTCATCAAATGACGTGGGATGACGCGGTGTCTTTAATTTTCAACGTATACAATATCAAATTAAACATCTTTAAATCAAATCTTTATAATACAGGGCCCTGTCTTGATACAATATGTTAGCACAATGTGTCAAAATCCAAACTGCTTTAATAATTGGATGGATAACATTTATTAAGAAACGTTCAAAGTGCAAATTGACGAGTTTAAACAAAACAAGTAAGTCTTTTTTGCGCTTCATTCTTTATTGTTTATACTTCTTTCATGTTTACATATGCTCATATGGTAATATATTTATGCTGACTTGATTTGCATTATATAATTCTACCAATTAAACTTCAAATTCTACTATTTAATTCCTTACCTAAACATCCACGCTTACATGTACATAACATAATTATTTCACATTGGTTTTAAATGTGCATAGTCTGTGCTTATGTTCGTAACTAACATGTTCATATTTACAATTCATCGTTCAAATCCTAACACATTATTGTTGACATATCAATTAACTTGAATTCCACTGCTTGTTAATTCTATTTGCCATTATTCACTTTTAATATATGCTAGAAATCCCATGCTCATAATGATAATTTATTTATGCTGACTTGATTTGCATTATATAATTCTACCAATTAACTTCTAATTCTGCTATTTAATTTCTAACCTAAACATCCACCCTTACATAACATAATGCTTTTACATTGGTTTTATTGTACATAGTCTGTGTTTATGTTCGCAACTTACATTTTAATATTTACAATTCATCGTTCAAATTCTATCACCTAAAAATCCACCCTTACTAACATAACATAATCATTTCACATTGGTTTTTATTGTGCATAGTCTGTGCTTATGTTCGCAACTTACATGTTCATATTTACAATTCAATGTTCAAATCATATCCCCTAAACATCCATCCTTACATAACATAATTATTTCAAATTGGTTTTTTTATTGTGCATAGTCTGTGCTTAGGTTCGCAACTTACATGTTCATATTAATCGTTCAAATCCTATCACATCATCGTTGACATATCAATCAACTTGAATTCCACTGCTTAGTAGAATAGGTAGTAGTAGAAGTAGTAGAAGTAGTAGTAGTAGAAGTAGTAGTAGTAGTAATAGTAGAAGTAGTAGTAGTAGTAGTAGTAGTAATAGTAGGAGTAGTAGTAGTAGTAGTAATAGTAGTAGTAGTAGTAATAGTAGTAGTAGTAGTAGTAATAGTAGTAGTAGTAGGAGTAGCAGCAGTAGTAGTAGAAGTAGTAGTAGAAGTAGTAGTAGTAATAGTAATAGTAGTAGTAGTAGTAGTAATAGTAATAGTAGTAGTAGCAGTAGTAGTAGAAGTAGTAGTAGAAGTAGTAGTAGCAATAGTAGTAGTAGTAGTAGTAGAAGTAGTAGTAGTAATAGTAGTAGTAGTAGTAGTAGTAGTAGTAGTAGTAGTAGTAGTAGTAGTAATAGTAGTAGTAGTAGTAGTAGTAGTAGTAGTAGTAGTAGTAGTAGTAGTAGTAGTAGTAGTAATACTAGCAGTCATGGTAGTATTTGTAGTAGTAGGAGGAGTGTTAGTAGCATAGTGGTAGTACATGTATTATTAGTAGTAGTAGCAGAAGCGATAATGATAATAATAAGAATAATAACAATTTAGGATTTATTTATTCTTGTCTACCAGTGCTGAAATAATTATTTCCAACAGCAATAGCAGGCGATAACACTAGTAATCAATACAGACAAAAAGTACAGTATTATATTATATTTTTTTTCTACTGATATCTCGAAACACGATTAACATGATGGAATATGTCTTCGTACTTTATACATATATATACATGACTCAATACATTTCCTTTGTATTTGCACCTGCATCGAATCGTTCAAAACATATCTTATATCAAAAATAAGATTCTAAAATCATTTGCAACAGATACCTCTGCAGATAGAAAAAATATATAATTTTCGAAAATAATATCATCTTTTGTTTATACTCCATGGTGTAAGAGTATTGTTTCATACATCAATCACATTATTCAGAAATTGACAGTGCTGTAGGAAACCAACTTCATTGAAGGAAAATGAGTATATATAAACCCATTTAAAGAAACTAATCCCATACCCTGACTTTCATGTATAGTGGTGGGACCTCAGGTAAAGTCTGGTGGAATAAAACTATTTTACCAAAATTTGTAAGACTTCTGTAAATCATGGTATTTCAAAAGGAAATCTTTCTACTGATCTGCGATATCAAGAGATTTGGGAATAACGTGAGTAGACATGGTAGATGAAAACAATACGGAGGAGGAGCACCAGATGGTGGAGGGAAAGCCACGATAGCTTTTGACGACTATTCATCGTTTTGTTCTAATTCCCAAGTATATCATCATACTTTTTTTCAATTATCAAGATAAACTTAATATTTCACGATTTTAAAGCATGGTTTCATATCCACGGAATGATTGATATTTGGACATTAATTATATGTAATCAATTAAGACTGAACGAAAATGCTGTCTCTCAAAATTATGAAAATTATTTGTTTGTCTTGATAACTAAAATTATTGTAATGGACTAGGGTCTTTTTTCATCTCCTTTATTCAATTCTTGAGCAGCACAATAATACTACTTAATTCTCAATCATAGTACTGTTTAAACGTCTTTCACGTTTACATAATCTCTCTGTATGGCGTCATTCAATGCTTCGTAGTTAGCTTCTTGATCAGGTTTATTCAGATCCTGATAGGCATTACCATCGGTACTGATATCTTGGTAGGTATGAACGTCTGTCTGTGACTGATCAAATACAGGGTTCTCATACTGCGGAGACGAATCGGACTCCTTCCCTTTAGACTTAGTAGTGGCTGATTCATTGCTGAAAGTTAATATTATGAAAGCATAGATAAATTGCATTCATGAAAAACACAATTTGAAAAATTACATAGGTATATATAAACATGTCAACATGAAATGTGGGAATTTGTACGGTAAATTTATAATGCATGTCATTAACATAACAAGTTTTTTAAATGGGTTACCATAACATTTAAAAACAAATCATGCTTTAGAATATTTACAGTGAATAGCATGTCTAACGGAGAAGAAATTAATGAAATAACTTTATAGATTTCTTTTATTTTTATAAAATCATAATTCCGATTGTATTTTCATGATCATACTGTTTTAGCATCATGCATGGAGGAGTTCGATGAGAATGGACTGATGAGAGGGACAATTTATATACAAGTAATCTCTCTAACCTTCTTCGCTTGTAAAAGAAGATGATGAGAATTATAGCGATAACAATCACAAAAATAGCACCAACAGCGCTTCCTACGACAGTTGCTATGAAACTTGAAGAACCTCCAGCTGAAGTTGAATTTGGTGGAGAAGAAGTAGTAGATGAAGAGGTTAGTGAAAATGAATGACTGGAGTTAGAAATACCAAGATAGCATCCGAGTTTAAATAGATAAATGATAAATGAATCAGATACTAGATTAGAAATACCAAGGTAGCATCAGAGTTGATAAATGAATGATGAATAAATCCGATACTACCATGTGATCATAATTGATTGTAACGGCATGCAAACAGACCGGTCCCAGTACGGTAGGTTGCTCACAGCTAGACATTTAATACGTATGGAAAGTTGTGTGTGTACGTGTGTGTTTGTGTGTGTGAGCGCTCCACAGGGTGTGTGTATGTGTGGGTGTGTGATTATTGTTCAATTAATGTAAAATATATTGACATTGTAATTACCAATTTCTACATTCTTAATTTTTCTTTTTTTTTAATTTAGTTCATGATATTTTATATATTTCTAGAATATGGGTCGTCAAATAACGCGTATAAAAAGATGAGAGGAGCGGGCTCAGAAGGCAGGGAAAATAAATGATAGACCCTACCACTTTCAGTTGTAAATGTCAATGCTAGTCCTTGTTCTCCTTCACCGTTGATACCATCTCGTATCGCTGCAATCTGGACAGAGTACGTTGATCCTGCTTCAAGTCCACTGACGTTATACATGACCATCTCACTGGCATTCTCAGCAGACCTCTTCGATACGGAACGGTCCGTATTGTTCACCATGCTTGGGGGTTGTACTTCTTTAGCCAACACGACATTGCTACCTGATCGCACGTATAACTTGTACCCTACAATTGGTCCTTCCCCGGTATCAGAGCTAGAGTCCCATTGTCTCCAACCGATGGCTGCGTGGTAGTATCCAAATTCAAGTAGTTCTGGTACACCATTAAAGCTTGGTAACGCTTCATAAGTGAGCGTCAAGACAAACACAAGGTAAAATTTAATAACACAAATAGTAATAATTACAATAGCAATAATAATACTGATGATAATAAAAAATAAAATTGATCATTTAAAAGCGCTAAAAACAAAGAGTACAATAGCTTTAGACAAATACAAATGGGTAAATCGCATTAATTTACTTAGGGAAGAAGTATAATATGCTTTAAGGGATCTTTTGAAAGAGGCAAGTTAATTCTATGAAGAAAAGAGGGATATTGCCCTATATCTAAGTAGCTTTACTTGTCCCATGGATATTTATTTTTACTACCCACCCCAAAAAAATAGAATCAATTATTTGAATAACTAGAACTAAAATCATGATACCTTTTGAAAAGATTACTTTGTATTAACGAGCGCGCGAATTTTTATCAATGAAGAATTTTTTTTTAGGAACACGGATTGCATCAAGAATATATAAATTCTTTTTACATCATAACAGGACCAGAATTATCATTCTCGATTGTACATGTTGAATGAAAACCCTGAGCCAACATCTCAAGAAATGAATGACTACAATTTTTTTCAAACTGGTGCATTTTGCATAGTTCTACAAGCATGTGTTTGATTTTAGAAACATAAAGAAAATGTTCCTTTCTCACCCACTCCGCAGAGTATTATGGCAACTTTACTCCCTGTTAGAGCGCTTTGCAAATTGTTCATCAAATTAGTACAAGAACCGCTAGACGAACCAATGTAAACTTGTACAGGGCATTTAAACAGTAGGAAATGCTTAGTGCTTACCAAAGAATTGCCTTGGAGGTAGCCTTATGAACATGAACTCTGAAGGGATTTCAGGATCTCCGACGAAGCAGTAAATCGCTTTCTCTGGTCCCATATTGACATGAGTAAATGAATTGCTGAGGGTTCTATCTATGTATATAGAGCTGCTTTGTGAAATCCAGCTCGCTGCAGAAAAGTCCCCAAGAGCAGCTTTGATGTCCGCGGGGCTGAGAGCTTGCCCTGATGACGCCGTGAACGAACAAGAAAAGATCGCCACTCCTGGGTTGGTCTTCCTCGAGCTCGTCTCAAAGCGATCTAAAATTTGGTGAAAGAATAGAAAGAACAGGTCATCACCATCAGCTTTTTTTTTGACGTGGGCTTGTGTCGTGACGAGGTATGGTAGATAAACCATTACCACGGTACTGTGAAATATCAATGGGTTACGGTTTGAATCCCGCCATCCAGCCAGGAGCGGTTCTGAAAAAACAACTTTTGAGGGAGAAGGGGCTGGGGCTTCCGTGCTTGGGATTCTTGCATTCATTTTCTGTATTTATCTCGCGAAAAAGTGGGGGGGGGGGGCTTGAAGACTTTTGTAGGGATAGGAGTTGAGAACCCCCACTCCAGCTCCCTCTTGAACCATTAATGCCAGCATCTGGCTCGATATACACTATGTGCACTTCTCAGTCTTCTCAAAAGGCCTAGATTGATTCCTATAAACGAACAGTGTGCTGATGAGGGCTGCCTCAGCTAAAGTTATTGAAAACGTGTGGCTTATAAAAATGTTATGTCTTTAAATATTATTTTACAGCATATTCTTTAAAACACAGAAGAGGGCAATATTATCCTACCTGTTTGGCAATGATCCCCTATCCATCTTGGATGACAGATGGATGACAAACAATCACCAGTCAGAAAGTTACAATCCTCAGCACCACCAGAACAATGACATGTCTTTGAACAAGAGCTGTAGCATCCAGAAACTACACGAGAAATGAAGTGTACCGGGAAAGAATTACATTATAACAGTTCAGACTAAGTGGTTTATTTCTTTCGAAATCAAATATAAAAGTTACCAGTGCATATATGTGTTAGTTTTGCTCAAAACCAAAATGTGATACTCTTACCATTTTATTAGAAGGGTGATATTTTCTTGCATTAAGTATTATGAACAAATATCCTCTGTGACAAAAAACTTTTATAAATATACGTTAGAGCATCTTGCCCGAATACAGCTTTCCATGTTTACAAAATTTCGCATAGCCAGCAAATTAATTCCTGTTAATGATGTTAAATATTTCCCTCTCAAAAATAAATCTCGCTATTGATTAGGGACCCGAATATTAGGAATTCAAAGATTCACAGGAGAGAAAAGGCAGCAGCCCCCTTCTCCCAAAGCCCCATCATTCTCACCTCGTTATTTTCAATCGTTATTTAAGCGCAATCCTTTGACGTTTATATTGTTAAAAAGAAAACATAATGAAAGCCTGACTTCTCTACGAAAAATATCGCCGAAATAATCAAGACATTTTCCATCTTTTGGTCAATTCATGAACGTTGTCAGTTGTGCGAGTAATCGTGTTTGCTGTGTGAATGGATTTCAAAATATTAAAGTTATAAAGCAAGAATAATGTTACATTTTATACAGCTTGATGGGAAATCAACAGAATCAGAAAGATATCCAATGTCACATATTCCTTCAACTTCGGCACAAAATCCAGACTCCTTTTCGCATGCTGTGGCATCTCTGCAGTTACATTCCTGATTGCAGTCAGCTCCAAAGTAACCGATGGGACAAACAGACGGAACTAGATGTGAAGGAATATAAAGAGAAATCATTACTGTGAATCAATAATAATAGCTTCGTAGATAGAGGGCCCATCACTCATGTTGTTTTGACATTATCGCTCTGGTTATCATGGTCATAGCCGAGCCATCAAAGTAACTCAAGCAAATCAGGCAGAGATAGTTTATCTGGTTCCCATTGGTCATGAGCGTAACCTATATATATAAATGAGGACCATGAGACCTTTTTTTTACCATGCTGATGAACATATAGGATTCTAGACAATGCAATGGGAGCGTTGTTTCATACCGATGTATCCTTACTTTCAAACATTCAATAATATAATAAAAAGTAAAGTAAATGATTGTACCTTGACATGCTGCTCCAGACCATCCTTGCGAGCAGTCTCCGGGACATTCACCAGTGATGTCATCACAATCTGCTCCATCAGTGCAGTGACATTCTTGAAGACAATCAGCTCCAAACATACCAACCAAACATGCTTGAGGACGAAACAGATGGGGTACATACAGATTTGTTGAACATGCAAGGAACTTACACCTATTGGCAATCTCAAAATTAGATTCGGCAGTAATATATGTCACTTCTTTATTTTCCATGAAGGTTCCTGACGATTTATCAGCCCCCCCCCCACACTCACATACTATTTTCTAGAGTGAAAGAGGTAACGACAAGGTATACCATTTGTTTTCAGATTACTATGATGAATACTGTCCCTATCAGCAATTGGAATCATAAAATAGCTTCTTTAAAACTAAAATTCAGTTGCAATCGTCACCGATTAAACACTTACTTTCATTGCAGTAGATTCCTGTATATCCAGCCAAACAGGTGCATCCATAAGGATCAGGTAGACAGATCTGATTTCCAGTACACTGGTCCAGAGGCTGACTGGGACCACATTCTAATTCACAGTCCCAGCCAAACCGATGCATTCCACAAGCTGAAGAGAAATATTGTGACATTTTATTTAATTATGAAACTCACTTAAATCATGTTTATGATATGAAAATTTCAGTTACTCTTGCATAAATATTTTTAATTGCTTTAACATTCAATCGCCAATCGCAGCTCAGGTGACGAAAATTTGCATCTTTCTTAAGTCCAACATCGCCTTTCGCCTCAGATGTCCGGACTGTTCCAAAAGACAGTCATTGTGGATTATTCTTACTAATGTCCACTTTGATGAATATTATGTGTTTCCCATCATTATACCTTGAAGGCAATTCTTTCCAGCAAATCCAGGAGGACAGATGCATGTTCCTGAGAGTTCGTGGCATACACCTCCATTCAGGCGCGTACGCAGGGGGGGGGGTTTGGGGGGTTATACCCCCCCCTTTGGAATTTTTTTGTGTGTAAACCCCCCTAAAAAAAACCTTAAACCCCCCCCCCCCCCCCTTTTGGTTTTTTTTTTTTTTTTTTTTTTTTTTTTTAATTATTAAAAAAAAAAAAAAAAAAAAAATTATTCCCATGGCCGACCTAAAAAAGGTGACCTTACCCCCCCCCAACGGAGCAAAATGTCAAATTTCCAAATTTCGAGACCAAAAAAAAAAAAAAAAGTGTCCTCTTACCCCCCCCCCCCCCCCCCCCCCCCCCCCCCCCCCCCCCCCCCCCCCCCCCCGCTTATTCAGCGGTCGGCTGAGTCGTTGCGATTTTTTTGGGACCAAAAAAAAAAAAAATGTGTCCTCTTACCCCCCCCCCCCCCCCCCCCCCCCCCCCCGCTTATTCAGCGGCTGGCTGAGTCGTTGCGAAATTTTCGGACCGATTTATAAATGTTAAAACCCCCCCCTTGAAAAAATCCTGCGTACGCGCCTGCCTCCATTATAACAACTATCACACAAACGATCGCATAATGGTGGATTCCATCGGCCATAAGGACATTCTGTTCATAGAAAGAATAGAGATATGTCATATTTCGGTATGAATTACACTGGACATATGGTATCAACAACTCTCTTTTGAAGTAAACTATATTTCATTGAAGCATGGATATATAGAAAATGTAATAAAAAGCTTTCAAAAAAAATGCGTGGAGGGGTTCTTCCTTTAAGGGACCCCCTGTACCAAAACATTGAATGAATAGATAATAAGTTACTTAATGAGGTGTTTAAAAAACATGTAATTTGTAATCAATACTGTTTAAAGTTTACTATAAAAACTGCATTGCATTCTCGAACAGAAATGCAAAGGAATTATGTAACATTTTAATGCGCACTCACTCTTCAGTAAAATGGTGTTGGGCATTTTTATAAAAAATTATAAATATTTTACCTAAATAATTAGCAACAGAGGACATTAAAATTGGAAATGACGTTATTCGATTGGGCACAGGATTGCCTACAGTAGACAGGATTACATAAGTACTCTTATATAAGGTACATTTACACAATATTCTAGTAGGATATTTCAACATTAAAGAGTGAAGTAAAAGAGCGAACCCTTCACGATGAGTCTTATGAAGCTGGATGGAAGTTGTTCCACCGCTCCATCCGCGTAAGTCATATACACACCGTCGTCTGAGACAGATGCAGATTGGATAGTGTGTGATAGACTGCCAGAACTCATTCCAATGAGTGAATCAGCCCAGTCTACATCAGTGAATTTCCGCCATCTTATTCCGTCTTCACCAACCATCCCTGTCGTGCTCATCACACTGAGTTTGATATCATCTCCAACGTGTACTGTCTTTGTAAACCGACCATCAATGGGTTGCAATTCACCTACGAATACAAATTTAATTATTTATCCCCAAAATATGATTTTTTTTTTCCTTCTTCAATTGTAAGTTAGTAGTAATCTTTCCACCTATAAAAAGCATTTCTCTCTCTATTCCTCTCTCGTTCTTTCCTATTGCGTTGTATGTGCTTTTCAAAAAGTCTAAACTTTCCCTGCGATAATATAATTTTAATTCCATGTCATATTTTAATTTTGATGTCAAATGGAAATCCAGTTTGTTCACAATTTCATACGAATTTACAAAGTAATCTCTAACATTTTTAAAAGGGAAACCAGTTTTCACTTTACCACCAACACCTGTTTTATTTTGTTGTTATCAGCTAAGAACATACGAGCTTAATCATGACAATACGCCTTTACTGAATATTTGAAAAGAAGAAACGTCAGAGAAACTTACGGGTAGAAAGAAGAATGGCAAGAGGAACAGATGTCATTCTACTGGCTGTCACCGATGAACACTCGAAGAATCCCAAGCCCTCCATAGTAGCTGGAAGAGTATGCCTTAATACTACAGATGGTACAACATTGCTGTATCCTGGAGCTGTGTAACTATCGAAAGTTATAGCCTCGGTCAGACGGACGAGTCTTCTGGTGGAGAATGTGAGAATCTCTTCATTCTCTGAGCCGAGTAGACAGATAAATGACGCATCCAGCAGTCCCCCTCCGTAGGGTGATGAAGTAGCTGCTATTATGCGTATGGGAAGGATCGGGCGTGGGCCTATGAGAAAATTGTTATATTTTTCAAGTGATTAGTGTCCGCCTAGCATTGCCGGTGAAGAAGAACTAAGGGGGAAATACAAAACGGTGACAAGGCAATGACTTGTCTCACACTTCAACCCTATGTTGCGTATACGTTATGATAACATTTAGTCCTTGTTGATACATGCAAAATGATTTGCATAAATTTACTTCATACTATTTTATACTATACAAAGTTACCTCCATTTCTAAAACGGAATGGTATATAGAAATATAGGCCTATGGAAACACAATCTAAATGGTATATGATGATGTATGACGTCACGTCTCCAGAACTCCCTCGAACTATCGACTGTAGATAAAGCCTGAATAACTAACTAGGAACGTTTGATAGGCAAGTTACATAATCCATATGATATGATAATCTTATTTCCCCTTTCTGCCTTGAAACGACGGTACTAGCATGGATTAATAATGTGTGAAATTCTATCTAAAGTGGAAACCAACTTTGGATTCGTAACAGTTGTTCCAAAATATTAGAATGTCACCAATCGATATGTTTTTTTCGTTTGTTGCATTTAAAACAGATATTTTGGAACACTGACTATTATAAAGGAGTTCTCCAAAATATAAAGGACAACAAAATTATGCCAATACTCACTCGGAGCTTTTTCACATGCGAACCTGAGGTAGGATGTACATAGTAGTTTTCTCCATCCATTATTAACCTGTTGATGAACACATCGTTCACTCTCAAATAGGGTTGCATCACCATTCGACCAAGCAGGAAATCTGAAAAGATAAGATATGTCGAACAACAATGTATAACTAAATTATTAATAACATAAATATTTTACTTTAAAGGGCATAATCGTTTCTTTGTTTGAAAGCGGTATGTCAGGGGTTTGATTCGAGCTGCAGTTAAAATGTATATTAATCCAACTGTAAATGTAAATTTGCCTTTCTTGCAAATCATGACCATGGCTTGTATTTTAGGCTTTGTGACGTCCGCAAAAAAGAAATATTTAACAAACATATTATTTTCAACTTATTCAAGGGAGGGGGATGCCATCGATCCATCGGAGAAAGCCTTCCTAGGCTTGATGGATATCAACTTGTACCTCAGATACTCGTGCTATTAAAGTTACATACCATTTTCTACCTATTGCATTATGTATTTAAATTATTAAATTACAGTTTGTCATTAGTAGGGCATGTGAGATATTGTCGTGTGTGTGTATGAATAATACAATTTAACACATACACATTATTGTCGAGTGAAGTGCCATCAATCCATTGGAACGTGGCCTGTTGATTGATATCATCGAGTCCAAACCAATACGAGTTATCTCCAGCCAGCGTCATGAGATGCATCTAGTGAATGCATTGAAAAAATATATCAGAAAGAGAAAATCACCGATGATTATTTCTAATGCGCAATGATCTTGATAGTGGGATGAGTTTATCGATATGTTTATAGTCTATGGCATCATTGGAAGTTGAACTAGTTGAAATCATGACGACATCATGCTGTTTTCTATTGCCTTTTATATCCTTTACCGATTGTTTTCACTTATCCAAGCAGATTTTCTACTTTTCTTACATACTGACTGGTGATTTTAACATCGATGTGAAGGATCCTGATGCACCTAATGCTGTTAGGCTGTTGTCCATGTTGGAAGCAGCTGATCTGTCTCAGGAAGTGAAGTCTGTCACACGCCAGTCAACACGTGACCCCACAATTGGTTCGATGATTGACCACTTCTACACTAACCGTCCAGATCTATTTGATTATATTAATGTTCAGCCTAACCCAGTTTCGAGTGATCATCTCGCCATCTATTTTAGATTCAGACTGCTCAAGCCATTCGTTGGAAAGGGTACATTACGCGAATTTCTCCTCTACAAAAAAGCCGACTTTGACCATTTCAATCAATTGTTGGAGCTCCCTGGGACCTGTATTTTGACCCTAATGATGTTGATGCCACTTGGGAAGGATTCCTTGATTTGTTGTTGGCAGCTTCCCGTGATGCCATACCACACAAGTTATCCGGACAAAAGCGTGGATCACTCGAGAAATCAAGGGCCTCATTAGGAAGAAACATAGGCTCTTCACAATTGCTAAATGCTATAATAGTTCAGGTGACTGGATGAAGTTCAAAGAAGTCCGGAATAAAACGAAGAGCATGATAAACAGTTCATACTGGTTGTATGTCAACCACCTGTTTACATTGAATGATAACCGAAAACGTTTCTTTGCCTATGTAAGGTCAAGAAAGACTAGCTTGGCCCCTCCGGTCCTCGTTGATAACAACAACGTCATCAATAAACCAAACGACATTGCAGAAAGGTTTGCAACTTACTTCCAGTCTATTTACCCTCCTCCTAGTAACTTACCAAACGTTCCTGACGCGTGCGTTCATCCGATTCCTCCACTTTGTTCCGTCGAGATATCTACTAGTGATATAGCAAAGGCTCTAATGCTTCTACAAGATAAGAAAAGTCCAGGACCTGATTCTATCACGCCAACGATGCTTAAGAAATCTGTAAAAGTTATCTCACCAATTCTTCAGCGTCTATTCGCCTTGTTTCTTCGACATCAATCTCTACCATCTTCGTGGAAACAGGCTAATATCTCACCTGTTTTCAAAGCTGGTGATCGGTCGCTTGTAACAAATTATCGTCCAGTAGCACTAACGGCCATTGTTAGTAAATTGATGGAATCGTTCATTTCTAGGGCAATCTGCAATCACATGGAATCGAATTGCCTTTCATCACAAGTCCAGCATGGTTTTGTATCTAAAAAATCATGTGTGACCCAACTTCTGACCATTACTCACCAGTGGATGTCTATCTTAGATCAACGTCGCCCGCCCCGTATTGACGCAGTCTTTTTCGACTTTTCAAAAGCCTTCGACCGCATGCCTCACGATGTTCTATTGCACAAATTGTACGTATGGTACTGGATTCGGTCTTTCCTGTCTGGACGTCAACAGCGTGTTCAGTACAAAGGATATTTCTCTTCACGGAGTTCACCAACATCCGGTATCCCACAGGGCAGCGTATTAGGTCATTGTCTATTTAACTTGTTCATTAATGACCTGCCCCGCTACATTGACTCCTCATGTGCATTATTCGCGGATGACACTGTCATCTCTCGCCCCATGTATGCTCCCGTCAATCACCAATACCTCCAAAATGACATCGATAGCATTCATCAGTGGTGCCAAGACAACAAGATGTGTCTCAACGCTTCAAAATCTAAAGTCATGAGGATATCATGCGCTAAGAATCCAGGTATTCCCGAGTACAGCATCATAGCGTTCTTCTTGATGCGGTAACTGAGACCAAATATTTAGGTGTCATGATAAATAACCGCTTATCTTGGGATAGTCACGTCAACTACACTGTCTCACAAGCCAACCGGCTCCTTGGGCTGCTTTTTAGTGTTTCATCTGGTCTCTCTTCCCATGCTACACTTTGTCTGTACAAAGCTCTTATTCTACCCATACTCGAGTATGGTCTACCGGTTTGGACCCCGTATACGAAAAATGTAATCGGTAAGATTGAAGGTATTCAACGTAGAGCGACCCGAATTATCCTTAAACAAAGAAGAATGGAAATGTCATACGAGGAAAGGTAGCAACGCCTCCGCTGGTCATCTTTTGAGTCTCGTCGGAAGTTCACTTTGATCACATTCATTATCAAATGTTTGTTTATGTATGCAGGCGCGTACGCAGGGGGGGGGGTGTTTTGGGGGTTAACCCCCCCCCCTTTGGTATTTTTATGTGTGTAAACCCCCCTAAAAAATCCCTAAACCCTAAAGGCAAATTTCGAGACAAAAAAAAAAAGTGTCCTCTTACCCCCCCCCCCCCCCCCCCCCCCCCCCCCTCCACTCCCCAACTGAGCGACTTTTCGGCTGGCGCGATTTTCAAATTTTCCTGAGTCGTTGCGAAATTTTGGACCCGATTTTAAACCCCCCCCCCCCCCCCTTGAAAAAATCCTGCGTACGCCACTGTATGTATGTATCCTGCGATAGTGTAAATAGCGCCATAAATGTAAACCCAAGGTATAGTACCGACCTGAAGTTTAAACCTTTGTTCGCTCGAACTGAAAGACTGCGTTCGTCAGCCATTAACTCATTTCCCAGATTGTGGGACACACTTCTTCAACATATTCGTAACGATGTACTATGGACTCAAATTGGAACTTGGTGCTCCCACTTGAAGGTGTTGAACTCTGGCTTGTAAATCTGTATATATGATTCCGTATTTATTCATGTTGTATTATACAAATAATGAATGTTATGAGTTCAATAGTGCGAATATGTTCATGAGTTGAAAGATTAACATTCTATTCAACGAGGCGTCAGCCGAGTTGAATAGAATTAACGTTAATCTTTCAACGAATGAACATATTTGCACTATTAAACGAATGAAAAACATTCATTATTTGTTTTATACAACATCGAAGAAGACCTAATAGAACGTTTATCAACAAATTTTGCTTTACTCCTTATAAAGATAAATTAAAGTTGGAGTCAAGCCTTCTCGATCTCGATTACATGCAGATTGCCTTCGCGTCAGATACACGCAGGGATACGCGCACATGCAGCAGAGAGGTACGCAGTCTGCATATAACCAAAAATGCACGGCGCATATAACCAAAAATGCACGACCGTGCAATATACCATCTATTGAATATCATGTGACCAACAATTGTCCAATCAAATGACAAGGATCCACGTAGGTGTTGTATAATATACATTATATTCCTTAATAATTTTAATAATGATTGTAACCGTTATATGATATAATCGTAGCAATAATAATGATTGCAATAACAATAATATAAATGATGTTGATAATAATGACGAATATGCTTATACATATTTGTAACAGTGTGATCTTTTAATGCTGTTTATGCTTTCTTATTGCTAGTTGTTTAATTACTGCTGTTTATAGTCATTTATAGAATATAAATAATTCTTCAATTCTATAAATAAGACTTCACATAATAACCACCTGAGATGTATACCGTATAATTTTTTTTCCATTTCTCATTATATAATATGAAACAATAATGATATGTACTTGAAATAATACACAGTCCATTTTAACCATTCCAAACCATTCCAAAATTGTATTACTGAATCTTAATATTTTCATAAACATGATATAGGACTTACCTTCATCTGTACATATTATGATCGTGCAATAGCTTCGTGACTGGTCGTTGTTGAAATTGTATTCTCAATGAAAATTAATTTTTTGATGATGTTTTAATATAAATATTGATGTCAATGATACAAATTATAATAATCATAATAATCATGATAGTAACGGTAGTAGTAATAATGTTAATAACGATAATGATAATGATATTATATTTATTTTTTACAACGTGATGACGGTGTTAATGATTAACAGCAATAATATGTTACTATACCTGTCATGAAATCACAACTTTTAAAAAAATTGTCATGCAATGTTTTCTTTTTCCTTCTTTTTTCTCCCTCTTTCCTCCATTTTCTTCTCATCTATCTTTTCTTTTTAAAGCTTTATTTTAACCAATATCAGGTGCATCTAGTCGGGTGTGGGGAGGAAGTCCGCGGATCACAGTTATTTGGTTAACTTTTTCCATACCCGGGCAGCTCGACCGGATGCACCTGCTATTGCAATATTTATATATGCTTTCTATTGATTTTTGAATCTCAATTCATGTTTGTTATATTGTTGTATTATGTGACTTGATTTGCCAAATAAAATAATAATAATAATAATTTCTTATATTGATTTTCATTTTCTATTCTTACATACAAAATTGTTAAATGCCCGTTTAAGTTTTATTCACGTTTCATTTATACGTTCCATACTTTGAATAAAACTTGTTAATATCACGATGCGTCCTTACATTGATTTCTTCTGTCTTAGGCTGGGCAAGATCCCCTCCTTGAGCCTGGCAGAACCTTCTAGCAAACGTATATGACGTCATCGACGATTGAGAGATATAGTACAGTGTTCCATCAAGCCGACTCCACTCATATTCAGGAACGTCTAAATATTGATTCAAACGAGGTGATTGCAGTTATTAGATGTTCATCGTGTTAAGAGAAAGGAAGAGAACAGCATGTCAAACCATGACGAGTCATTGCATTTATTAATCAAACATTTTGGGTATCATTAGCCCCGCTTTTAACCAAAACTCTTAACAGTCAGCATATTCAAGGAATAAATTATACCGATCACCCACTTACTACACCTGGGTCTAGTGTGGCGAACGTAATTAATGCCATTTGGGATTCGAATCCCTCTCCTTGTAGCATGTAGGGTAAGATGCATACGACTTTTGAAAGGTGGTGAACAGCGAAACTTTTTAAGCCAAGTCACATGTTCATATTTTAAAAAATCGACAGAAGAAAAAAAAATCTCTTTTAGCTGAACAATCTAGCATATAAGTTTCATCAGGACCTTTGCAATATTTGCGATGATGGAGACCCCGTGCCACTAGGTAGATAAGGGAAAACCCCGCTTATTTAAAACAAAAATGCACAATGGAGGTTTGGGGGGGGGTGACATGCTTGAGTTTGCTTCAAGTCGACAACAGTGGATTAAGTGTTATAGTTTCATCTAACAGGCCAATTTGAAAGAAAGAAAAGAAAAAATTCTGATGAAATAGAAACGACCATACGTGCATTAGGTCTAGTGACTTACCCTGATAGCGTTCACATATGAAGGATCGGTCGAGATTACACGAAATATCAACCCATCCCATGTTTGGATCAGAAGATAGAGTGGCACAATCTTCATTACCAACATTGTTGGGTTCAGAAATTAACCAACCATGCTGAATACCTGTGTGTATTAAATGAAGGAGAATGGAAAACAAACACAAGTAGGAGCAAACAGACGATTATACGTAAGAATAAAAAAAATATTATCGCTTTTTGGTTATTTATTTTTATTTTTGTTATTTTTTCTTCTTTTCTTTTCTTTTTTCTTTTTCTTTTTTTTTTGAAGGGGGGGGGGTGTTTTTTTTTTTTTTTTAATTGTATTGGCAAATTTGCCATCGGAGTTCTGATAATTGAAGTGTAATAACTTATGTAATATAGGTGCAAATCTTTAGTTTTTCAACTGGTGTTTTTAGCCGAAACAAATATAAAAATACTCTCTCATTCAAAAAGTACTGTTCTCAACGACACTTTTTAATTTCGAGAAAAAACTTGAGAAAGAATTCATGAAATTTATTTCTTCAAAAGCAAAGTATGTACTACTTTATTACCTTTATTTTGATTCCTTTTCGAGAATTGTTTTTATTTAATGCAGATTTAAACAAAAATATGAACGTGGATATGTACACAAAGTAAAAGCAATGTATAAAGTATACATACACAATTCATTGCATTACGAAATGCAAAATGCAGCTTTTTGTTAGAACTCTCTGCCATTCATTATCAAAACATAAGTAAGCGATCAAAGTGTGATTTTTCAACCTACATAAAATAAAATTAACATTTTACAAATTATATAATTAAAGAATGATACAAGTAGTTTCGAGCTTGGCAGTCATTTCAAAATAGAAACGATTAAGTTTGCATTCTATATTAATTTAACCTACTGTAAAGGTGTTCCATCGATCCATGTAAATGTGCCTTCTACAGCTTGGTCAGTCAAACCAAAAAATACATGGTTACTTATTCCCGAAATCCTGTCATGAAGAAAGGTCTGTTGGAAGGAAAAAATGATATCACCTCATAAACATCAGTTGGTTTTCATGTTTTCATATTTGCACTTGTTTTTATTTTATTATTATAAGGACATTCAAAAAGATGAACGAAGGTAAACAAAAAAAAAGAAAAAAGGAAAGATTACCTGCTGTGAACCCAAAAGTGAGTATTTTTAACTACAGACTTAAAATCTGTCTGGCGTACGGTAGATAACTTTTGAAGTCACTATTATTCAATTATTTCAACCTGCTTAAAGCTACCTTGATAGAACTGTTTACCGTTACTGTCCTGTTTATACAAACATTAAATGAGAACAGATATTTGAAATACCTCCATTTAACTTTTTACAAATGTAAATGAAAGAAAAGTTTCTTTATAATATCATGATATCGACGTGCTTTAACAATGCGTCACCAGAGAACATCATCAGAGTATATCAAAGTCTATTTTTTAGGATATTGGAAAGATTCAACCATGAAGATTGACGATGACAGTGTTTACATGACTGTTAAAGCAACATGCCAGCTCAATCGCTATGTAAACCTCCAAGCTGTAAAAGAAAATACCAGCAAAAAAAATGAAATACGGTTCACGATATACCATTTTGTAAATTGATTGATGAATGAAAGGTGTAAATATACTTGAACATACGTGGATATCGTGAGATTTGATGAGTGCTAAATCAGCTCCATGATACTGACAGTAGGTCCGTGCATCTGAGAAGGATCGAGCCAGCCATGAAGGTGAGATGAAATAATCTAGACCTCCAAATGATGCTTCAGTTCCATCAAATGCTGTAATAAAACATACTTTGTATTTGAGAGTGTGTCGTGATGAGAAAGATTGTCATTTTAATGAACGAAATTGCTTTTCTCTGCCCATTGGAGACATTCGTGTAATTCTACAGAGCCCATCGTGGGCCTACAGCAATCGACGATAAACTTTGTGCTTTGTGATTGTGAGTGTTCAACTAAAAGGGACCAAAATGATTTCTGGTCTCCAATAAGTATGAAAACGGAGGACTAATTCCAAATTTGTGTCATTTCTTGAAGGGCAATTATTCACCCACTATCTGAATTGTGTATTTCGTCGCTACAATGCTACGTTTACACTATGTTCCACGGCAACCACGTTTCAGGCCACCGTGGACGAAACGGGATTGACGTGACACAACGCGGGGGACCGAATGGGCAAACGTGACAGGCCGTGATTGCCGTGGATACCGTTTCAGATTGTTAAAATGTAAACAAATTTGCCACGGCAGTCACGGTGCGGATGAGAAACCTAGTAGGCCGTCGTAAAACGGGGTGAACGTAACAAAACTTGACAGTCCGTAAAAGGCCGTAACAAAACTTGGAGGTGGTCCGTAGTGGGACGGGATGCCCGCACATTCCCCAGCATCTTACGGTCTGTTCAAGTTTTGTCACGTTCTGCCACGTTTAGTGCACGTTTTGTCACGGTTGCCCCACGGTTGCTGCACATTTTGTCCCGTTTTGCCATATTTTGCCACGTTTTGCCTCGGTTTGACACGGTTTGCCACGGTTCTCACGGCAGGCCAGGGTGTATGGTAGCCGTTTTGTCGTGTTAATCACGGCGCATCCCGTCGTCTGACGGTTTACGGGCGCGGCGTGTTGCGTTCTGACACGGCGCACGCGGTCGGGAGGTAGTATATAAAAGACGAGCGCGGCAGGAGCTTCATTCGAGTCTGAGCAATCGACGACACATTACTGCATCTACAATACGAAGAAAGAAGGTCAAGCTATGCCACCGAAGAAGCCAAGACGTTCAAAAACCCTCCGTCCTGCACCACCACCACCACGAGTAGTGCTTGGGAGGCATTCTTTTTATACCGTGGGCACAATCGTGCTCCAAAGCTGCCCAGCGTCCAGTTTCATCCGTAGAAAGCCTTGACAGAACGTGAAAAACGTGTCAGAACTTGATAAGAACGTGAGAAACGTGAGGGACCCCATCAGAACGTGACGGGCCGGGAGGGAACGTCCTGTCATCCGTGGTAGAACGCGGGCCGAACCGTAGTGCGCCTTGGAGCCTCCGGGACTCAGCATCCCCTCCCCCCCCCCCCCCCCCCCCCCACGGCCCGTCACGGATACCGTGGTAGACCGTGAGAAAACTTGGTAAGACTTAACAAAACTTTAATCCAGAAATAAAATTGGTCTAAATCCCACGGCGCACTACGTTTCGAGCAAACGGGGCAGCCGTTGCCGCCGGGAACTTAGTGTAAACGTAGAATAAGAATGATCAAGATTTAAGAACAATATTTTTTTTTCTTCCATGGAACAAAAACATGTGCAGTGGCGTTTCTTGTAGTGAGCGAGAATTCCCGAATACAAAGTCAGCCAGGCATCTTATAATGGTGTTCCCAAATGGAGATGACACATATTTAGAATAACAACGGATTTCGTTTAGGAGATTGCGCACTATCCGAAATATCTGAATAGCAATTTGAAATTCAGATTGTACGAAACATGCTCCATGCAGTGACAATTTTTATGCGGCCAATTACTTACACTAAACGAATTCCAAACTTCAGCCCTTTACCCTAACGCTTACCCCATCCCTAATCCCTAAATGCCTGATGATCCCAAGAAAATATTTTTGTTGAAATGATTATGGCCAGGAGCAACTAAGTGTTGCCAAAACACAAATATTGTTGGATCACCAACATTCATACCTTGTGTCCGCTCACAAATGTACGGCGAAGATATTTGTGAAGGATTGTCATACCACGAAGGGCCATCACGTAGACCAAGACAACCCCAGGAGTCAGCATTATTGGGTTCGTCGCCCCTGTACCAATCATTATACCTTGGAGGAAAAATGCTATAAAAATTAAGTTCGTATTATGATCATTATTATGATTATTAACAAAAAGATACTGTATATATTAATATTATCATTAT